AGCGTATCTCTCCCGCCTCTCATACGAATTTCTATTCGCAGGTTGATATACGAGAAGTGCAGCATGGCGCCGCAAGGTGAGAGGCATTTTGTCAGTGCTGCGTGTCAGGGAGAGCGCGCGCAAACCCCTCGTTTCCCGTCTCTCTGGCGCGCGGTGCTCGGCGTATCGCTAAGATGTCCGCGCTGATGCTGCTTGGCGTACGGCGCAGGTCCACTTGTTCCGAGCCAGTCGCCATTCCGCCAGGTAGGCGCCAGCGCCTTCTACGTAACAATGCTGGTTTGACTTCAGCAATGCAACAGACACGGAGCCGCCAGCCCTTTTCCCCCTGGGCAACTGTGGCTCCTTTTGGTACGCCAATTGAAGCGCCGCCAGATTTCGACCTTCGGGCCCGCATAGAGGCCGCTCTCGCAGGTCCGGTGCATGGGGCAGTGCGTGCCGAGGACGACGACCTGCCGATTGCACCGCCGGAAGCTCTCAACGCCCGGTGAGTCAGCGCCGACCCCCATTCCACCCGTGCCGGAGTTTCCGGTGTCGCCACCTGCAGACCAGCCCGACATCAGCAAGGGCCAATACCACGCACGCAGGCATAGCAAGCAGCGCCGCAGCGCCAAGGCCGCCCCTATGCGCTGCGCACGGCGGCCAACGGCCCCTTAGAGAGTCCGCCATCAGGCATCGTGAGGCTGCAGCTGCTCTTGAGACGGCTACAAATGCCGACGCCCTGCTCGCCTAGGACTCCGAAGGCATGAAGAACGACGCTGCCGGCGCCGCGGACCCTATCGAGACTGATTTCTCATTAGCTATGGAGGACGTCGCGGCCACGAGGAACGCGTTCATAGCGCAGCGCTACCAGCAAACTGCGGCGGATCGTTTGCCCGCACAAATCCAGCGCCTTATGGGCGACGAGCATTTTAGACTGGTGGAAGCCGATGAGTTCGTCGCCGCTTCTCCGAATCCATCGACATGCTAATGACCATCCCACCGTAGCAAATGTCGGCCCATCGTAGACAGGGATGGGATTCTCATCGGTGTTGTGTCGGGCAGGCCGCGTGATGTCGCACCGCCCCCTGGCCAGGAGGCCAATGTGCCATGGTCCGAGGTTCATCGCCGGGGCGCCGTTCTTGCGGAATACCTCCGCAACAACCTGCGGCTATCGTTGATCATCGGCGCGGTGGCTATCCCGCCGTTTCCAGCGGAATCTCATTCGGCGGCGGGCAGCAGGTGGGCGAGCTCTCCGCATATGCTGAATCTCACTGACGCGTGTTCCTAGCGCGTAGGCAATCTCGCACATACCCCCTACAATGCCGCCATCCTCGATGCCGTGAAGAAGTCTACAACCATGTGTCGCATCGCGAATTTTGCCAACAGTGCGTACCCTTACGCGGGGAGCACCGTCGCCGCATACCCCTGCATACTCAACGCGCTTGATGGATTCATTCCGCCTCTTTTTCCCCAAGCTCCACCGCTTCTACAACACCACTCTCGTCGCATTGTGCTCGCTGGACCCCTCCCTTCAGCGCAACTTCAAGGGCAGCGCGTTTGCGTGTGCGACTTGGAATCTTGGGCCGCGGGCAATCGCGCACGTCCACACCGACCACCTTAATCTTGCGTGGGGCATGTGTGCCATCACAGCTCTGGGCGACTACGACCCGAAGTTGGGGGGTCACTTGATTTTGTGGGACCTGAGACTCATCATTGAGTTCCCTCCAGGGACAACCATCCTCATCCCCTCAGCGATCATCCGTCATTCAAATGCCCCCCTCGCGAGCCCCGACGAGCATCGCTATGCCCTCGTTCAATACTCTGCGGGGGGACTCTTTCGCTGGGCTGAGTGTGGTCATCAGACGCAGAAGAATTTTCAACAGGCTGGCGGTGCGTATGCACAGACGGGCAGGGAGCGATGGGCTGGTGGCGTTAGTATGCTGGGTCGCTGGGACGAGTTGTCCGCCTCTAGAGTATAGGTAGCATCTGCTGGACGCCGATAGCGTGTAAAGTGCTCTCGAAGATCGGGCTGCAGTTTGTAATTCAGAGTTCGCGACCATCGCCCAGCGGTGCATGCGGCCAACCGGTCATTGCGGCCGGCCATGCCGCGACCGTCCATGGTTGCGGCCCGGGACTTTGTGCACAGATGATAAGGAGCCGAAATCAAAGCGCCGCCACGTTCGTCCAGCAGCGTCTTGTCCGACACCTCCGAAGCAATGCCCCCCTTCATCGCTTACCACCATGACGTCCTCCTCTGTTGCGACGAGCAAGGTCTCTTTCACAACCCGTAGACCAAGACCTATCGCTCGCGCTGACTCCGACTCTGATTCTTCCAACTTCAAAGTCCCCGCGCTACCCCGCCATCTTTCTGGCACCAGCGCAGCCCCCTCTCACGGAATAGCCCACTGACCCACACGTACAGCGAGCGCGACGGCTCAGATGAAGACTCGGGGGTAGAAGAAGAGCTTTTGACGGCATTCGATGAGTTCGGCACAAAACGGTGCGTCCCATCATTCCCATCTTCCAGATTGGGCCCTCAACTCACAGCAGCCCGCTCCCGTGGCAGACTCCATGAACAGCCAAAGCCTCATGGCCCGCTTGTGATCCCCGCGCTGCAAATTAGGGACTGGCGCACATTCGCATGAATGCGCGAACCGGCTCTATGCTCCCCCGAGTGCCGCTACGACAATCGGAGCGGACGGTTCCATTGACGAACCTAATTTGCAGCGTGTTTGTTGCCCCCTAGCATTCTCTGATGTGCGAAGAGCTGGCTAGCTACCCTAGCCCAAGTTCAACCGTACCGACTTCCACCGCCACCTCGAGTTCGAAGAGACCAAGCCCGGCGTCTCCAACCCTCCTCAAGCCTCAACGTCCACCTCCCACACCTCTCATCCCATCGCATCCTCGTCTTCATCCGCAGGCCCCTCCCGTCCTATCATTAAATCTGAATTAGGCCCCTCAGTCGTGCCCCCGCCTCCTGCGCCCTTCCCGCGCTTCAACGCGAAGGGCAAGGCGCCTCTCGCGCCCAATGGACTGCCACTGCAGACACCTGGGGGGGCAGCGCACCACAGGTGCGTCCGCCGTTGAACGCGAACCCGAATGAGGGTGGAATGGCGCAGCGGACGGCGGAAGGGCACGCCGCGCGTCTCAAGGTCATCCAGGACGCGCAGGAAAAGGCTGCACGCGCCACAGCCGCCGCCGCCGAGTCCGCCAATGCTGCATCAACGTCGGCTGCTCCACCACCGGCCGCACCGGAGGTTGAGATGACGGAGTCGCAGGAGGACGAATACCACTTCCCGTCCGAGGACGACGCGCTGTATGCGGCCGTCGACCTCGGCACGCTCGACGAGGGCGTCGGGCGGCCAATCGGTTTCGAGGACGGCGAGAGCGCAGGTGCGGCGACGGAAGAGGGGAGCCAGGTCTCGAGCGTGGGTGTGCCGCTTTGGCAGGACACGCCTGCGCAGCTGACTTGGCGCGCGACGGGGGGGAGGGGGGCGAATGCGCCCCGCGGCGCGCCCTCACGCGCCCCTCAGCCTGAACCGGCGCAATTGCAGCCCTCGCTCGCAACGCTTGCAAACCAGAACGCTGGGCTACCGCAACAAGCGAACCCCTCGAATTCATCGACCTCAACCTCAAGTGCCAGTGGTAGTAGGGAGCGGCCCAGGACGCCATCTATGGGGGGAGGTTTCAACCTCCCGGCCGGGGTGAGCCCAAGACTCGCATGCTTACGCGCATATAGCCTGCTAATTGTGCACATCTTCTTAGCAGCAGTCCGGTCGCGGGCAGCCTCCGCCGCGCTCGATTTCACATGTGGGCGTGAGTACTAGCACTGGGTCTGGCACGTCGAGCAGCCTCAAGCGGACGGCTGAAGTCATGCAGTGCGTCTCGTACGCTCGTTCTGGCACTCGATTCGAGCACGTTTTAGGCGGATTATTGCGTTGGATTGTCTTGTATGATGAATGGTCGAGTTGCCGCGCATGGGCGTCCAGGCTATAGCATTCTTGAAGGTACGCGTACAGCTATGCATGAAGGCTCACCTCGCATTTGCTCACATATTCTCGCAGTCCCCAACCGACTTGGAGTGGTCGCGGTGTTGTTCGCGTTCGCCGTCCTTATGGCGGTCTACGGCCGGTACGCCGAGCCCCTGCGTTTATCTTGCATGGCAGCTCACTGCCTGCGTCGTATCGCATTAGGAATCTCGCGCTGTCGCTGGCGGTAGGAAATGCGATACCTTGGATACCTGCTCCGAGCACACCTCTTTGCGCTGTCGCGGTGGCGAGAATTGTCTCAGAAGTGCTGGAGAGAAGCGGCGTCCCAGGTGCCGTGGCTGATCTCGTACTCAGTGGGAAGGCCGTCGGCGAGCACGTCGTTGGCAGCTCCGACATGGACATGGTTTCCCTCACAGGCAGTGAGGCCGTCAGACGCGAAGTTGAAAAGGTCGTTCAAGGCCTCTTTGGCAAGGCGTTGCTCGAGCTCCGACAACGGTTCGTGCATGCTGGTCTCCGTGTCCACCGAAGCGCCAAAGTCGTGACATATATGCTATCTGCAGCTATTGTCGCCGTGCCCGATGCCGACCTCACCCGCGCCGTGCCCACGGTCTTTTTTGGGGCGGTCGGCACCGCCAGTCAGCGCTGCACGGCCACACTGGATGGCGGCAATTTCGTCATGCCCACTATTGCGATCCCGCAGGAGGTGAACGTAAAGGCCAAAGTGTGGAGCACAAGCATGTTGGCCCCGGTGCTCAAAGAGGCGCGTTTGACGAGCTCGAGCAGGCGATCGAGTGGAACAACTGCGTGCCGCAGGGCTTGAGCGGTAGCCTGTAGACTCGGGACACTAGGAGCGTCGGAAAGTGGATCGGGCCTGCTGGGTCGGACGCTGGTATCGTCAACGTCGGTACGGCAGCTGACTAGATGCAGGGAACATCGAAGCGCGGCCTTTGATCGCCAGGGGAAAGGAAGCGCTGCTGAAGGCGCAGAAGGGTGGGGGTGTAGGGGCAGGCATGATGATAAGGGAGCCGGGGTCGTTCCCAGGGCGCTGAGAGTACGAGGACGACCTCTGTAGTTACCTCTCGCTTGACCAGGGTCGGGGGTGCCTTCTGGTCTTCGAGGAGCCTGATGGTGATAGGGCGCGCATACGACGATTGATACACTGGAGCAGATCTGTACTTCAGTGCAGACTTTTTCGGATATACAGACTGTATGAAGAGAAGAATTCCATACCTGTTGCGGCTTATCACCGCTACCAAGTCAGGGCAAGACAGCATATGGTCCACCCAGCGTCGTCTGCCGCCTGTCAAACAGAGCTCTTCGCTGAACAGCGCCGAAGACATCGCGTGGGAATCGAGGGTATACCCCTGCACCAGTCTCGGTGGAACACAAATGGCGGCTCTGAACTCGACTTCCTCGGAGGCCATCATATCTGGGTGGGCGTATTGCCATTTATGCATTATTACAAGGAAACACTTGATCAAGAGACAACGTACCATGGCGATGTGGTGGTGCAATGAATTACGATAGAATACATGGCCCGAAGACGTCTGCACCCCGCTCGGTCGGGTTCCCGTATGCCTCTAACGCCTCTGCCTGAAACTTCTCCACCTTGTACAGTGATGGGACGTCTTGCGCTCCGAGGGCTCGGCCCCAACCTAGGATTGCTTCCTTCTGTGACCGAGAAACCCGTAGATCTGGAGAGCTGAATAAGATGTCGGTTTTCATCATCTATGTCTCGTAAGTCCCTGTCTCAGCACCGCGCTGCAAACCCACGCACCGCTTTGTTGGGATATGGAAAGTAGCCCTCCTGAGGGCCTTGCCGTGCACCAAAAAAGTGCTGCGAAAGATCGTTGGCGTCGTTATACCCTCCTGAGTATCGAGGAAGAGATGAACGACGATGGGAGTGAAGTGTTTGAGGTCGGGATGTGTGTGAAGCAATGAAGTCTATGCGCACCTCCTATGTCATGCCAATCGCTGCCATTCCACTGACTTTCGGGTTGAGAAGAATCCAAAATGTCGTCATCTTCATCTTCAGGGTGGAGGGCCGCTCGGAAAAGCCCGGAACCAGCAAGAACATCCTCCAAAGAGACTTCAGAGTCACCCCCGCCCAGTAGAGACTCCTCCCCCGCTGAGAAGGCCACTCGCCCGGCGAGGGCATGATTCTCCATGGCTAGTCTAACCTTCCTCTCCCGCTCATTGACATCTCCAGGCCGTGTCTGACCTTCAATTATGTCTTCTCCAAGAGATAGAGGGAGCCAGTCGAGTTGCGGAAAGAACTCGTCGTAATTGTCGGAGGTGACAACCTCAGGAGGGCGTGTTGGGAGGGTATTTAGGAGGGTGTTGTGAGAGACCCTGGGCACCTCGTTGGCAATGCGAAGCTTTCGAGCGAGATTCTGCTGGTGTGGCTGGCCCTTCTCATGTTCCCGCAGGTTGGCAAGCCTCGCCCACTGCCCTTGTCCATGTGCATTGCAAACTTTGCACCGGCCAAGTGCCCCTGCAACCTCAAAGTCTGGCAAGTCAAAGACAAGAACGGGCAACATGAGGTGGCCCAAACTATATGCTCTGAGAGCTCACCTTCAGTACGTTCGAAAGCAGGCATATGCGTTGTGAGATATCAATAGGGAACAGAGGAAATGAGATGAGACGGGGTAAGAACAAGCGCCAGACGCCGTTCCGAAGATGAAGTCCCGATGTACATGCATATACGCGACAATACTCTCCGTCACCATTCCATACAGTATATAACCACAAATGAATCTGATTGTTAGTAAGATAGCCCAGAAGATACATGCTATGGACATGTGAGCGAAGCTGCACTCGGACCTCTAATACGGAGAGTATGACGGGCGAGCCTCCTTCCAAACATGACCTCTGTCGAACCCTCCCTCGACGTCGTCCTCACGAACGCGCTTCCCGTCTGTAAGTGTTGTGTGCTCTACACCCTCTACAGGACTGTAGAACGGAGTGTAAGTTGATTCTCACATTGAATAGTAGGCAATGGCGGACTCTCACCTTACGAGCGTACAGCTGTCCGTCAACCATGGCATGTCGACCAAGGTTTGGGACTCTTGCGTGACATCTAGAAATAAGTCAGTGTTGTCTTGAATGAAGGCATTCATCTGTTGCAGGCGGTGTTCTTGGGCGGCATTAGCCATGTGCACGTGCCGTAATTCTTCTTGGGCGGATGCCAGCGCACGCATGCATGGACACATAGCAGTAGTACCGCCAGCAGCTACATCTAATGCATTGAAAGTGTCGCATTAATACGATACAAAAATGGAGATGTTATCGTAACTCTCACCTTGCGCGCGGTCAGTTTGTACGCGGATTGAGGTGTATGTCTTGGTGCGCACGACATCTGTTCCCGTCGATTCCAAGGAATTATCAGGTCAATAAAGGAAAGAAATTATGGCATGAAACGTACCTGTCCCAGGCTCGTCGAGAGTGTAGATATATAGCGTCTCGGACGTTTGCGAGTCCAAAGCTCCGCCGGACGCAAACAACCTACCACAAATTTTTGTCAGTGCTACATCTATGATCGCGCGCGAATACTACAGGGGCATGTCCTCAGCGAGAAATCACCGTGAAGTCCTCCTTTCTGCAATCCCTCGTTCAACCTCGGCCCGACGCGTCCTGCGGGAGGACAGCGTCTCCAACTGCGACCAACCGTCGCCGACCATTTGCGAAGGTTCACACTCTTCGTTGGAGCTGCACATGGTACCTGTGATGCTAACCTGAGAATGTATTAGCGATACTATGAGGCTAAAATCGAGGACGTGATCCTGACTATATGATCAACGGGCCCTATACAAGTATATGGGAGGCGGTACAGAGACTTGCAGGTCCAGGGCCCCATGTCGCCCACGGGTCGAGATCATGTGAGCCCACATGGATACGATGTCAATGACTGAGATCGGACGGACCTGAAAGACAGATAGGATTGGGGTCTAAGACGCTGTGATGATAATCGCAAAGTCATGGTATTGGATGAAGGTCGTGCGTGGTATGGCACCAACATGGGCGGCGAATATCGGCTACATACGGCGCTAATATGGACTCTATATTGGTGACTACATGCGGAACATATCGTCTTCCATCCACACCGGCACGATATCTGGGGTCACCCGGTGGTGTAGAATACAAAACCGGTGCGGTGGGTAAGAGCGCGAATCAGGCACTCAAGGATGTCAATCAGTCAGTCAGTCAGTCAGTAGGGCATGCTTGGTGCCTTGCAGATCAGCTGGGGAGGCCATTGCGAGGTCTTGCGAGGCGCACATGTTGTTTTTGTTGCCGTTGTCTGCTACACTTGTCGATAGGCTGTATCGAGGGAAAAGTACCTGCGGAAGCGACATAATGGGAGACAGCTTGCAAATGCGGGGATGGAGATGGTAGACGTGGTGGATTAAGAGACAAAACGTACATCGAGCGAATTCAAACATCGGCGCCTAAAGCGCATGACATCATATCCTCACCGAGGAGGGAGAGATCGAGGTCGAGAAAAGGTCAAGAATGTGAATTGGGAGTGGGATAACACTCCTCTTCACTGAAGGAAGGAGCAATCAAGATGAGGAAAAGGGGGGGAACAGTGAGACAAATGCAAATGTGCGGATGTTGGCAAGCGTGCTGAAGGGCTCCTCGCGTCCAACACCTTGTTGCGCGTAAAGCTCCTCGCCCTCGCCCTCATGCTCTAGTCCTTTGATCCAGGGACAGATGGAGGATGTGGAATGATGGGGGGTGGTGAGCACGACAACAATAGCGGGGGGGCAGTGGAGCGGCGATCTGGTTTAGAGGATTGTAAAAGTCTGCGGGCTTGGCGAACAGCGACACGAGGGTGGCTGACCTAAAGAGCACGCGTGCTAGTTCAGTAGCACAAAGTAATGTATCGCATACGTCTTAGAGACATGTTGAGACAAGCGAAAAACACGTCGACGTCACCACACTGCGTGAAGCGCCATATTACGGTGGCGGGGAACATGCTGGGAATTTGCGTATTCCGCGCATATCACCCACGGATTCCCCAGTAAATCCCCCTTTGATGGGAATCTGGTGGGAACATGCACATTCTCTCCAGATTCCCTCAACATCCCCAACCGCTTGTGCAGATTTCTATTATAAGGGGGACTTGCCTGCCCAAAATTACTTATCCGTCCGCGATGACGTCGTCGTATGGTCCCATATCAACCTGCCATCGCGTCCACATCTTGACTTCGTACTTCTTGCATTCCCTCCGTATGCCTATCTTCCCCTTGGTACGTCCTGACCATTGACTCTCGGATGGCAGCTGATGTGTTAACATGCAGGTGTTCTCTCATAAATACATCTGCTGAACAGGGCAATAGTACGTCTCTAGTGTTGCGTGTGAAGTCCCAAAGTCTGATGGCTGCCGCATCTAGTAGGTTGTCCCG